AAAATAAATAATTTTATTATATTTTATTAATTAATTTGGTTCTATTCTCTTGTTTAATCATACTTGGTCCATCTCCTTTTATTCACATTTTATTTTCCTCTTGATTTTTTTCATTTTTTTCTTTACTTCTTGATTCTTATTTTTATTTTATTTTTGGTCGGTGAAATCTAAATATCACAGAATGTTGGTTTTTAAAGATGTTTGACCTTCATTATTTCAAATATATGGGGAATGATCATTTGAATCATTCTCCATACTTTGAAATAGTGATAGGTTACCTTTGATTAATCGATGGAAGTTATTGATTAAGATGAGACCATTATCTTTTCTTTTCGTGTGGCACGACTTTAAGAGAATGATCTACATATCATCTCTCTATCGTGTTTTAGCATAAACATTGTTATTAACCGACCTCTCATAGTATGATCTTCCTCATAGATCGGGCTACGATTTCTTAACATAGAGCTACATTGGTCCTAATTCAAAAAGTGATAATCTGATCAATGAAAATTAACAACCAACAACTGACTTTAATTTTTGTTTATTGTTCTCCTGCTTTTATCTTTCTATCATTATACCACTCATTATTATCAGTGTTCATATCATATTGTCATCTTATTGTTCATATTTTATTCATATTGTCATCTTATTCTTATCTTGCTCATCTTATTAAAAAAACATAAAAAGATGTTAAAATTATTGAAACCCTAAAAGCTTTCAATTGGTGGACTGTGGTTATTAGCTTTGGCATCAGGGATTTGAAACACTAGACAGAAACCATAGCAAAGGAGCTGCAGATTGTGGCTATCTCTATTCTCGATTACTTTAACTTAGGACACTTGCACACGTACGTCTTCCTCTTGGGCTACCTGACAATGAAACCTTTTATTTAATGCAATCCAGTGTAACATACATGTATCCCACTCCCATTTCCGAAGTACGCACTTTACTCATTTGGTTTGATTGTGCTTTGGTGCTTTAAACCATTTCTAAAATAAACTCTCAATCCAACATCGAGCCTCTTTCCACCTTGTAAGTCGATTGCTTCCTAAGCATCGCCATCAACCTTTTGGTTACTATACACAACATTTAAAGCTTACTCCTAGGTTTTCTTATAGTGAGACCTATTTGATCAATTATCTCTAGTTGGTCATTTAGAAGAGTAACTCATTTTGCTAGTGCACACGATTAAAATTCAACTCAATTGCTTTCTTTTACTTGTATGTTGTCTTGTGTAATGAGTCGAGTCGAAACCCTAAAGTTCAAACCATTAAATTTTCTGTACACAAATTTAAACCTCAATCAACATGGAGTATTTTATTAAATTCAACTTAATAAGCTTAATTATACTTAGACCATATTTCAAATAAAAGATGAAAATGGAGTTGGAATGGAGTCTTCGATTTCTCTCCTCAATTGTTTGGGCCCAAGGAGCCTTTCTTACACTCGAACAATTGTCTTCTTTAAAAGATTTATAATCTGATCCTACATCAAACTATTTTCATAATAAAATGAAAATCAAACCAACAATCCATAGTCAGAACTACGAACGCTCTGATTTCTCATACATGTTGAGAATACGTAGATTGCGAAATCCTAGCGAGCAACCTTCTCTCTTTTCTCTCGTAGTTCCACGAACTACGAACACTCTGATTCTTCACTTCTTTCAAGTGAAGGTACGTAGGCATAAGAACTCTAATCCTTAGCGAGTACCCTAATCTAAAACCAACCCCTTTTCACAACATGCATATTCTTCCAATTAAAATAATTTAACATTCATCAGAAATTCTATATTTAACAATACTTCAAATTATCTCTTTAAAATAAAACACTTAATTAAAAAAACAATTCAAAATCTTCAAATCAAAATAAAACGAAATGACCCATTCTCAGTGTTACATATTAGAGCAACCAAAAACTAAATAATAGAAAACGATAAATAAACGAAGAAAACCCCAATGTCATCTTACAACTCACAACAACTATTGCTCCTCTTGAGTATTTGTACCAAATCATACAGAGCATCACAAATAAAAAGAGGGTGAAAATATGCTTAAATATATTAGCGGTGCAAAATATAGTAAGGGTAGTATATTCACACAATCAACAAACACAAAATTCATTCGCAACAACCAAATGATTCACAATGCCTTTATGTATGCAATGCAACTAACACATGTATGTAATGCAACTAACACCTCGACTTAATTCATGTGATACCATTTTATGGACATTAAAGTTATGTTATTGATCTCATCCACTCAACAATGGTTCCTCTTTGAACCGGGTCCCCACTTTTGAATCCAACTCGTCATTGATCCCCACTTTTGAATCAGCCACTCGTCACTGATCTCAACTTCTGAACCAACAACTTATCTTAGGACTGAAGTCCACACATCGATCACTGACACATACGATGTTTGAAATATAAAATAATGCAACAAAACTTATGGTTCCACTTCTAATCATACACAACAACACATAAGGTAATCACAGTAGTTCTCACTCGGAAATCTCAAACAACCTATAATTACAACTCATATTTTAATTATACAAACATTTCAATAACATATGCTCATACATCGAATAAAGTATCAACGTGACATTTAAGGCTTGTCAACTTTATTCACCATCTCACCAAACATGACAAAACAAGAATAAATAGTCGATGGAATTAGAGACAGCCCGACGATTCGAATCGGAAACACCACTTTGCGTTGTTACTGCTCACCAAGCGAGAATTTCCTTCGCTAAGCGAGGCTTAATACTCATTAAGCGAGGATGCCCAGAACAAAAAAAGAAAACATAAACGTGATTCCACCATTTGAGCCCTATCAAAGCATTGATTTTAACCCCCAATCGCCGAATTCAAACAGAAGAAGACATATACATATCATGATCAATACATCATATATTCACAAATTAAACACCTAATCTATCTATTATCATGAATCTAAGGTTATGTTCATAATGCCAAAGACATACACATGAACAACAACTCAATCAATTAACACATACAAAGGCATAAGAAAATCAGTAGTAAAATAATGCATGAATTTCATGTTATTCATAATAATTATATTATGTTTTACACAAACCATTCAAAAAGAACACATAAACATCAACAATGGTGAAAGTAGGAGAAAAAACCTAGAGAAGAGTGATGACCCATTTCTACCCTTCATGCATTTGACACAAATATTAGAGTAATTTCCCTTTACCTTAATTTTCATTAGCAAGTTCCCAACTTTGGTTATGTCTTCTTCTTTATAGAGCTCTCCTTAGGGTTCCTAGCCACTTGCCTTTTTTTTTTCTTTCCACTTTTCTTAAATTCTATGTATCAGATAAAAGCTCAAATCCCTCACATTATCTATACAATGGCCTAATTATATTTTTCATAATTTTATACTTTCCCTCAACTTATGAGGCCTTACTCCTTACCACACTAATTTCTCAACAATTATAATTTCACCTCATAATTCACTACTTCTTTTACTTTATTATTTTTAATTAAATAAAATACACTAATTCAAAAAAAAAAAATCACATAATTCATATTAAACATTTTAATCACTCAAATAATTAAATAAAAAGCAATAAAAATTCAATTAAATAAATTAATCGAATTCAAAGCGTTACAGGGTGACAATGAATATGGTGATTGTACAAGAAGGTGTGACACATGTTAGTTTTATTTGTCTCCACGGTGGGCGCCATTTTACTGGTAAAAAAAAAAATAGGTGTGCGTGATATTCCTACTAGGATAAAATATACTTAGAGGCCTTAGTAAATTTATAACAGTTAGGGTGATTAGAGCTCGCCTGTGGCGGCGAGAGACCATATATGGTGGTTTTCAAGAAGTCATGATATGACTCGATCTGCATAACTGGTGAAGAGATAATGACATTGTGCACATGTCTTACTCTGAGGGCGAGCCCCTATACTACACAAAGATAATGTCTAGGCGACACCTCATAGGACGAGAACCCTTGCGTTGACCTTATTTATGACTTTCATAAATATAACATTATTTTTTATAATTTAACTCTAAATTAATATTATATTATTTGTTTTTAAATACTAAATCTCATTATTGGTAAAAGTTTCAATTAAAAAACTGATTTAAAACTTGTTTATTTTGACTTCTTTTAAAAATGTTTTTTTTATAGTATACATTTTTATTTTAAAAAAAATTCATTTTTTAAAAAAGTTTTCAATAAAAAATTAATTTAAATAATTATTTTTAAAATATTATTTTAGATCTTTTCATTATGATCTCTTTGATTTAAAATTAAAATTTTAAAAAATTATTTAAATTTGAACTTATTTTAAATAGTTTTTTATTAAAATTATTTGAAATATATTCTTTTCTAAAAACTACAATTTTAACTATATTTTAATCTTCTAATAAATATTTATTATTTTGCAAAATATATAATTATTTTACACTTTCAATAATATGTATAATTTTTTCTTTTAAATCTTTTTATACATACAATAGCACATAAAAATATTCCCATTTTGACGCAGGGTACTGGTTTTTGAATTGCAGAAAGCCAACTCTACGAACGAAGAACCTCAAAGCGATTCAAATCAGAGACTGGAACTTAGAGATTCTTCAATTTCCCGCATTTCAAGTTAGTTTCTACTATCAATCTTTCTTCTTATTCCCTAATTTATCTTCAACCTAACTCTTATGAATGAAAATGATAAACCCCTTTTTCAATTTAGGGTTTACGATGCAGGTAACCAAGAATGACACCAATTTCGTTCTCAAATTTAATTTTTATCCAATAATATGATAATTTTCTTACTCTGTTAGCGCTATTGTTGTTATTTGATTCATGTATTCTGTTAACCATTTTCTGTTTTTAAATGAAAAGGGTTTTTTCGTTTGTTGATTTTTTTATAGGAGGGTGAACACTTTGGTATATTTTGTTCCCAATTAGAAGTTCTAAATTGAAAGAGGTTAGGCTTTTAGGGAAGAAGTTGATTGAAATATGCTTCAAATTCGGCTTAGCAAGACTTCTGCTTCTGATGGGTCGGCAGGGGTGAAGCAGTCTCCTGTCGAGACTGTTACAGTTGCGTGCCCTGACCATCTAGTTCTTGCTGATCTTCCTGTTGCAAAGGGCATTGGCACACCTTCTACTGTTTCCCTTGTTAGGAATGTGGGTCGCAGATCGCGCCGCCAGCTTGGTGAGCGAGTTCATTTCTGTGTTCGATGTGATTTCCCGATTGCTATTTATGGGAGGCTGGTAATTACTCTCTTGCATTGTTAAATGCTTTTGAATTGAGATTTCTGGCTGTTAGGATGGTTTTAATCACTACAAGATATAAATCATCTTCTACTATAACTTTTTCATTCAGGCCTAGTTTCAAAAGTGTTTTTTTTCTTCTTCTCTTTCTGGATGTATTATTTTCTCTAGCTTTAGGATGTATCCACTCCGAAAATGTAGTGCAGAAAAGAAATTTTATTAATGAGAATGTTATCTAAATTGTTAACGGTAATTTACTGTTGTAGTGGACACTACACTACTGCTCGTTATTTGTTTTCTCATATGCATAGGATTTTTCAACTGAAACTTATATGTGAATATGATCTGTCGTATGCCATTGACTTGGTGTCGACTTTTCATTTTTCTACTTGCCTCGAAATATATTACTACTACTATAATGGCCCTATGATTTTATTCTTCAGCATTTATAGATGACACTCGTTATTTCAATGACTTTGTAGTCTTTTCAGAAATTTGGTTGAAAATGACAAAATGTATTTTATACTTGCATCAAAACACACTTTTATGTTGTATAGTTTACAGTTTTAGATGTTATGCACACCTCCGGAGGTGATTTGTTTGATGACGAGGCTGCTTTATTTAAAATTTTGACAGTGGTTTTTCTTGCACAACATATGCTAGAACTTGTTAATTTCCTTGATGTTAGCTTACTATAGGTTTTATGGTCTTGCAGAGCCCTTGTGATCATGCTTTCTGTCTCGATTGTGCTAGAAGTGATTCACTGTGCTATCTGTAAGCATATTTCTTATCTTTTGCTCTTCATACCGCAAAGTATTGGAAACCATTGACTCTTCACTAAGCTTAATGTTTTCTAGTTATTTAATTTGGAATGTTTGTCTTTGTTAGTTTCAGCCTAAGTGTAGGTCTTTTTGCAAATTTCTTTCCCACATTTACTAAGTTGAAATGACTTTGCTAACTGCTCATACTGGTGTCCTAATTCATTTTCCAATTCTACCTGTAATTTAAAAAAAATAATCTACAGAAGCAGTTTTAACGTTTCTGTCAAACCCTTGTTGCACTTTGGTTTCTCTCTATTTCTAGCCAGATCTGTCCATCCAAAAATCCGAATCCTCTAGATTTTATTCTGGAATAGTTAACACACACCTGGCATAGAGGAGTTTCCCCCTTTCAAATTATTAATGAAAGAATTGTCAAACCTGCAAAGAAACCCTATGGGAACTTCCAAAAGAAGAGGGAAGATCAGACCAATTCTATCTTAATTGTGGACAGGAAACCTCATTATAGACCTCAGCATTCCAATCAAGAGTTGTGTTGTATTTCTATAGGGATGCATTAATCTTTTCCTTTGCTATATTATTTTCTTTGAATTTGATTATTTTAAGGACATATAATTTTGGAATTCGTTCTCAACTATTTTTCCACTTTTTTCGAGCCCCTCAACTTATTCACTTGTTGACTCTTCTAACCTGACATGGGGAGGGTGTTTTTTTTTTGTATTGTTGCATGTCTGTGGGGCCATTTTCACAGAAATTAAAATCTGCCCACTTGAATAGGTAAATAAGCATGACACACGAGTGGCTCATTTATTCAATCATTTTTACTGTTTTATTTGTGTTTTGTCTCTATTAGATATAAAATTATTCATGTTCTTTACCCCAAGAGCTTGTTGTGTTAGGATAGTTGATTTATAACATGATATCAAGTGGTCTTGATAGGTTCCTTATCTATACACATAAGTCCAAATATCCAGGGTCCACTTAGAGGAATAGAGGGAGAGTTAGTTATGATGTGGTGCTGGATTCTAGGAAATCAGTTAGAGGCGAAAGGAGTATGTTGTGGCCGAGAGAGTAGTAGAGTCATGGTTGTTAATTGCTAAGAGTTTGTTAGGAGAATTATTTCTCTGGTTGTGCTCCTCAATTCCATAAATAATAATATTCCTTCACTCGTAATTTTGCGGGTTCTATCTATCAATTATCCGACCTGCCAGGTTATCGAGAGAACGAATTGGCGATGTCCCTCATGACACTAGAGATGTCTGAAAGTTTCGATGCACTGGAAGTGAGGATCACTGCAGTGGAGGACTCCCTGCGATCATGCAACAACCTGCCAGGTTATCGAGAGAAGCTAACGAATTGGCGATGTCCCTCATGACACTAGTGGGGATCACTGCATTGGAGGACTCCCTGCGATCCTGCAACAAATGATGGGGAGTTTTGTCAAATCATATTGACGGAGTTCACATACTGTTAGATCAACTTTCTTCCAGAAGTGTTTATTCATGCTCATACACTGAATTTTCCGTTTCTGAATCCAAGTTGACAATGAAGAAGGAAATAGATCCAGATGGGAATGGGTTTGAAGGTCAAACTTTCTATACCTGTTTCGCAAGAAAAGGATAAGTGATAGCTTTAAGTGCGTGCGATCCATCATAGATGTTAGAGAAGAATGAAAGAAAACCGAATGATCTAAGACTTGAAGGTCAAATAAACCCTTTTTGAGCAAAGAAAGTGGTCCAATAAGTTGTAAGAACAACCAAAATAAGGGTGATAACTCCCCGTAAGGTTATTGCAAGGAAGGAGGAAGGAGTGAAAGCTTGAGATGTATGGACCTCAGTTAACCTAGTAAATCATCCTGTGGCGACACTTCCAAAACAAACCACAACCGCCTGAGCTGCTTGATCTGGGTGACTATGGAAACAAAGAAGGTTCAGTCGTACTGCCGGTAGATCCGTTGGAGAACAATGAAGGAAAACCAAATGATGTTAGAGAACAATGAAGGAAAACCGAATGATCTCAGGCTTGAGGGTCAAACATACCCTTTCTGAGCAAAGAAAGTAGTCTAATAAGTTGTAAGAACAACCAAAATAAGGGTGATAACTCCCCGTAAGGTTATTGCAAGGAAGGAGGAGGGAGTGAAAGCTTCAGATGTGTGGACCTCAGTTAACCTAGTAAATCATCCTGCGGCGACACTTCCAAAACAAACCACAACCGCCCAAGCTGCCTGATCTGGGTGACTATGGAAACAAAGAAGGTTCAGTGGTACTGCTGGTAGATCCGTTGGAACCATAGGAGAAGGCATCAAGTAATCCGACTCGGTTGAAGGCGGAAGAGAGATTACAATGGAATTTGGTCACAATCACACCACCTCCAAAGCTGCTGGACACTAGTAAATTCTTGGGAGGTCCAGCCATTCTCCCACCGCCACCAAAAGGAAACACGATTACAGTCGAAGATACTCAAATAACTGGATGTGAAGTCATGCTTTCACCATCACTGGAGCCTCCAGATACAATCTCACATGTCGTGATTTTTGAGTCGCAAATGGAAGGTAAACTGTTGCGGTAAATGCAGTGCCACCAAAAGGAAACACGATTACAGTCAAGGATACTCAAATAACTTGATGTGAAATCATGCTTCCACCACCACTTGAGCCTCCAAATACAATCTCACATGTGGTGGTCTGAGTCACAAATGGAAGCAAACTGCTTGGGGTAAACACAGCTATACATTCTTTGTGAAAAGAAAACCCATTCTTGGAAAGAAGAAGTCGGGTAAAATGGTTAATTGGTGAGTTTGGTCTTATTCCTGACTTAGTGGGTCAGGCCCAAAAAAATTGTAGTAACGGGGGGCGGGAAATTAAATTTTAGGGCAGAGTAGAACCACTACAGTTGGCCCATATGATTGATAGTCCGTATGTTCAAAAAGATAATGTTTCACACAAGGGTTACTCTTTTTTGGTCCGACCTTGTAAGATATTTTAAAATATTCTAACACGGCCCAAGTCAGAATCTGGGGTAAATCCTATGGGAAAATGAAAACATGATGCCAAACCTTGCTTCCATCTCTGGTGCGTGTTCCACTCTGTTGCGGCAGTCTCTGAATCGAACATTGTTCTCTTTCCAAACTAGTGTGGTCTGCATGGTGCACACAGTGCGAAACCCAATGACGCGCACGCTGTCTCAGTTTCCAGTACCTGATGCAAAACCACTAATGGGTTGCTTCTGCTGCAACAGCTCTTAAGGCATGCATCCTCTCCATGCGCACCCTTCTGATTTGCATAGCCTGCGTGTTGCAAATCCTTCAAATACGTGCACCACCATCTCTGTGAGTGCCTTTGATTCAGTTGTCATCTCCCATACAAGCACTTCTGGTATGCTTGTTGTCTCTTCTGCGAGTCTCTTTGATACTTGTATTTTCGTCTGTCTGCGCGAATTCCCATAATGGCGACCATGAATCAGCTTAAACCAAAAGGAAGTGTCTGATGTCTGGGGAAAACAATGTCAAACTTTTGAAGATAAGTGGACTACTAAATTTGTGATTCTAAATGGAGTATCCGCAGATGTCCATCAATTCTTCTCTTAAAGAAAATCTAGTACTATTTTTCCATGAAGGGAAGCTTATTAGTTCTTTGCATGTCATTCCCTCACTAGATGTGATCAAAGATGAAAGACTTGCTGCCAGATCTTCCCAATTTGGGGAGGAGCGGGTTCTGATTTGTAAAAGGCAGCAATAAAATGTGAACCACATGATGGATGTACTGTAAAGAAAATTATTCATTAGAGCGTAGAGCTTTACGATAAAAGTTTGTCCTTGTATCAAGCTTTGAGGTAGGGGAAGAACTAAAGGATAGTAGAGCCTTTGTCAAGACAGATGCTTAGGGTTTTAGGGAAGAACTGAAGGATAGTGGAGCCTTTTCAAGACAGATATTTAGGGGTTTAGGGGAAGAACTGAAGGATAGTGGAGCCTTGGTTGATTTACTGGTAATTAATCACAGATGTTTGTGGTTTTGAAGGGGGAAAGACCATTGAAATATCCAGGGTCCTCTTAGAGAAAAAGAGTTAGAGTTAGTCATGATGTGGATCTGTATTCCAGGAAATCATTTAGAGGGAAGGAAAATATATTGTGGCTGAGAGTAGCAAGAGTCTTGCTTGTTAATTGCTAAGAGTTTGTGAAGAGAATTATTTCTGTGGTAGAAGTCTAAGGCCCTGGGCTATCCTTTACTTGTTGCTGTATGAGCGTACGAGTCATTGTGCTTTCTCATTTATTCCGCGAGTTCTATCATGTCTAGAGTTTGAAAGAAGTCTAGGTAACTCTGAATTGTATAATGGAGAGAGTACAGAAGATAGGATTCAAGAGAGATGAAACTGAGAATCTTTAAATATTTCATGAATTGTTTATCTCTACAATACAACATAGATTTATAGAGAATACCACCTATCATAAGTTGTAACTCCCTAGCTGACTCAGCCTAACAGAACTAACTAGTAAATTAGTAATTGAAGACAACACTCAGCACAAACTGTAGTAATTTTTTGTAAATTAATAATTGAAGACAACACTCGGAACATTATTTTATTTACAAGGTTACGTGCAAGTGTAAGAAACATATTACCTTTGCTCAAGAAATTTTAGCTGCTAGATGAGCACCACTCTAATGGAATTCAGTTCTTTATGAGCCTGTCCACTAATAAAAAGCTTAATGGTAGCAAAAGATAGGGTAAGGCTATTGCATTATCCATGCTTTAAGGTCAATAGGCTCTTTCATGATAGAGTATGTTAAATATAGAACTATTTGCATGCTTATAATGAAGAATTTGAATATTTGGGATGATTGGTTTATGGTATCAACCTTAATGTTTGACCTTCAAGGATTACGTTATGCAATTGATAGCTTCCATGGGTAGGATTTCTCTTTTCTGTGTAGCATATTATTTGTATGTTAAAAAGGGTTTTCATCTTCCTTGAAACACAGGTGTGACGAACGAATCCAGAAGATTCAGACGGTCAAAGTGATGGAAGGAATCCTAATATGCGCCGCACCTCATTGTCTCAAGTCATTCTTTAAGAAAGCTGAGTTTGAATCTCATATCCATGAGAACCATGCCAATCTTGTTCGTTCCAATGCAGATAAAGAAGATGGAAATGAGTCAGAGGCTCAAAGTGTTAGGCAACCTGCGGCCTCAGATTCCACAGCTCGAGGCCCCCAAAGGCAAGTCTTTTCTCCAGGTTCAAATTCTCAACCACACGATCTGGAAGATAGAACTCGTCGGCAGCCAGCAAGAGATCAAGCTCCTTCAAGGCCAACAATGCAGCAAAAGCCACCATTTTTTGGCCAACAACAACATCACCCTTCAGATACAATGTCTGGTTCTATCGGAGGTATGCAACAGGGCTTTCATCAACAAAATTTTGACATGCCGCAGCAGCATCCCCCACAAGAACCTTCTCAGTTTACTGACAGGCCGCAATCAGTTGGTCCAGATAACTCATTTCCTGAGTATCCAACAATGCACCCTGGACAATCCGCCAATATCCCCCCACACTCAAACCCAATGCTTAACCCACCTTTGCCATTCGGTTATCCCTCGTACCCGCAAGACCGAGCTCAGCCATTTTATGCAGCTCCCTATGATATGCCTAGGCAGGACTCAGCTTCTGATATGAGTGGAGACCCAAATTCATTAATGGTTTTCCCACAAGGTGGCCCAAATTTTCAAGGAAATTATTCCCAGCAATGGAATGCAGCAGGTGTTCCATTTGAGCAAGCACAGGGTGGTGGTATGATTGTGGATCCAAGGGATACCAAAGGATTATTGGCACCACCACAGCCCATGCACCTCCCACCACCACCGCCGCCGCCAGCCCACATGTTGAAACAGAGCAACTATTCTGTTGAGCACGGACAAGACGGTCAGGGTTATGGTTGGCAGCATGATAGTCGTGACAGCTTTAGTGGCCAAGGCTAATAAGGTTTCCAATCATTCATGGTATATGTATCTTGCGTCTTTGCTATCACTAAACTGCAATTTCTATTACATTTTGGCCTCTGTTTTTTGTACATTCTAATCAAAATTGAGTTTTTCCTTTATCAGTCAAAAGTTTTTTTTGTCCCATATTTGGTACTATATTCATGAAATGAGAATGGAATCAAATGTGTTTGAATGATATTGCTCTTCAACCTTATGTCAATTTAATTTTGGTATGAGTGGTATCACAATCTTCGAGCTAGATAGAAGTATGCCTATATGAGTAACAAAGCTTACCTTCACATCTTGCATTTTTATGTAAAATAAAATTTATATTGATTTAACAAATGTAGAGAATTTTCATTCTTTTGTATATTTCATATTTGCTGTAAGAAACTGCTTTGAGCAAATTAATCTTCATCAACAAATATGAAAGATACAAAAGAATGCAGATAAATGAGTTAAATATTTTAAGATTCAAAATTTATGTCATTTATCTGCTTTGGTTTTTTTGTTTGTTTTTAGCTTATCTTACTTTTATGATGGCAAAAAATGTAGAAAAACAAAATAGAAAATCGATCATATCAAAATCATGGCAAAATAGCAAACAAAATAAGACAACATTTACATATACCTCATTGAAATGAAATGGATCTATCATTAGCACAAAATCACAAACGTTTTTCCAAACTTTACTTTTGATTGTGATAGAATTGATTTGAAAAGAATTGATGGATACATAATTGATTAAGGAAGTTGATTGTTTGTTGATGATATAGTTTTTCAATTCTATTTGCATTGATTTTACTTGTAATTTCTAAATTTTGATTCTAAGCTCTATAGAATCTACAAACATACATCCATAATTTGATTCTAAGATCTATAGAATCTACACTAAACATAAACCATAAAAGGGTGGTTGATGTTGAGTGATGACTGAAATTAGTTTTGCTTCACGAAGGACCAATTACTTCATTTATAGTACGAGTATTTCAAATCACTATGATTCATCTAAGAATTCCGAAAGCAACAACGAGCATTAAATCATTAAGCCATTAATAATATTAGTCTCTTATATACCAAACATTAAACTTCTTCACCATTAAATCCAACCATTTTTCTCTCAAGTGTGAATATTTCTAATTTTTATACAACTTGCTTAGAGCTATTCAGAAAAGCAACCAACCAATACTTCGTGACCACAAGAAAAACATGTAACATTTCAATCCAAATCTAACCATCAAGCATTTTATATATAGATTTAATTATTTGATCTCCTATTTTTTTCATATTCACGAAATTAGTTCACCTATTTTAAAATTAAATAATTTTAACTATTTGTTCGCATTTTAAAATTTGTAAAAGTCGATAAATTATCTTATAGAAATTATTACATCTCCACTTAACCAAAAAAAAAAATGATTCTAGTCAATTAAGGTAGACATAACATTGGGTTACGAGCCTCTCTTTTTAATTTTTCTTTATCTCTTATCTTCTCCATGAGAGAGCAACATGTTAAGATGTTTTTTCTACTGCTTTTTTGACTTTTGGGGCCAAAATCGGTGGTAATGGATCTTTACAAACTGTATAGAAAAGGGCTTGGTAATTGAAATGTGAAATCAATTTGATTCTTTTCAATATCCTAGTGGGACTATGTAATGATCTTAAATATTGTGAAATAATCATTAGCTTCAAAATTTATGTCTAGCTCATGGGATTTGAGCTTTGTAGGGTTTTAAAGCAAGTCTAGTGCTGCTTAAGTGCTTTCCCACCTTGTTGATAGTTTTACTTAAGTAACTTATTCATGTGTGGACTTCTATCTTACATCTTATGCCCTTAGGCTCATTTCACCAATTTAACACATCAACATTTATAGCTAATATCTTATAAGTCATTTTGTTTTTAACTCATGTATTGTGGGTAGATTAGTTGACACAAGTTTTGTGTGTGTTTGGATCATATATTGGACACTCATTTGAAGTGAATTTGTTTTATGATTAGTTGAATTAGATGATGCAAAATTCAGGTGCTAGTTGAACATGACAATCAAGTTTAGATTGGTTTAAATATTGTTATTGAATTTTAATGGATTTGTTAGTAGTGTTGAACAAAAGTCAAACAAACTGTCAGACGATCCTACAAACTAACACCAATATTTCAGATTTTGTACTCATTCACACATTTTCTAATAAACTTCTTAAAAGATCACCTATATAAAAGAATATTCCAAACTAAATACGCTTAACTGTGAAGTTTTTATGGTATGAGTTTTCAAAAAGGATATACATCTTGTTGGTATTGATAGTAAAAATTAATTCTTTTAATTCTTATTTGAATCATGTAATATCATATCTGCACAAGCCGTTCATTGTCCATGTCTTGTGCACCGCGGTCAGTCCTCACTCTTGTTATTCTCGTGTGTCAGATTCCTACTATCTTTTAATTAGTTTGTCTCTAAATCACATAGTATATGAAGATGTTTGTTTCCATACCAATTTTAACATCTCTGACAACTTTAAATATTATTGGCTAATTCCACAAACAACCAAGAGTCTTTTTAACATATTACACTTTTTTGATAAATTTTCTAAATAGTCACTCATCCGAAAAGCTATGGAGTTGTTATTGTATGAGCTATCGAAAAAGATATTTCTTGTTGGTATAAGTATTAAAAATAAATTATTATAATCTTTCCATGAACCATGCGGTATAATATTTACCCATTCTCAGGATTCTTCTCATATTAATGTGAATTCAATTCATTCTTGTCTCCTTTTTTTAGAAGCTGACACGACCCGTTTATTGTCCATGTGTTGTGCACTGACAATCACTCTCCACCCTTATCATCTTTGGACGTCACATGTTTTCACTTAGTTCGTCTCTAAACCACATTTTATTAAAAGAGGCACACTCCGATAGCATTTGTGGCATCTTCAAGTTTTACCAGTTAAGTGAATAACTCATTAGTTTAATCCATCATACAGATTAATCCCAACTCTTACTTATATATAAATTTATTATAATTAGTTAAGTTAAGCTAAATCCAAAATTTTAACAATTGGATATTACATTTTTCTATCGCACATTACTAGTAAAGAACATACACCTCGCAGTGGCAAAAACCTACATTATTAAATATCAGTATTGATGAGTGTTAAATATTGGAAAACTTAAATTTAATATTTATTTTGAGGAAAGTTGTAATTAATTTGATCTCACTTGCTTATTTATCATATAAGTTATCTTTCACATGCATCAACATACATTTAGATGCATCAACATATATTTACATGCATCAACATACATTCACATGCACATATTATGGCCCCTAAATTGTTTCCTCAAACCAATGAGAGAATTTAAGGTAAACCTAAGAACGATTTATATCTCTCCAAGATAGACCTTCATGGTTGTCTTCTTTTGGTCTTGTATTCTTCTCTTTCTTCGTTATATTACATAAAAGAATACTTGTTTTACACACGAGAGAATGAGATGAAAAAAGAAATAACATACAGAGAATTGAGAAAAACACAATATGCATGTAGTATTTAAAAAACCCCACCCCCTCCCCCACCCCCCCAAAAAAAAAACAACAGAGAAAAAGAGAATAACCGTTCACCAGAAAACAATAATTATATGCACACTTTTATTATTATTATTATTATTATTATTATTATTATTATTATTATTATTATTATTATTATTATTATTATTATTATTATTAAATTCTATTAATCAAATAAACTAAACCAAATTTTAGTGATTTATCATACTATGCAGAATTAAACTCTTATGCCATCTTAAATTTTAATTGTATGATTCATGATAGCATAACCCTTAGCATAACCCTTGCACCGTCATAAATCTTAATCGTATGATTCATGACAGAATAATCTTTGCTTAAGTACTTAAAGATAATCTTGACATTAAACTAATGATCATCATCCATATCTAGACTAGTACCTATTCGTTGCATTTATACATAGAAATAAAATTCGTACTCATAGGTACCCGCTCGAATCTATCTCAAATTTAACGCGAAAAATCCACTTTGTTTGGATTTGGGTATAAGTTTGGATTTTCTCTAATTTTAACAGATGGGTACGGGACAGTTAATGAGGACACTAGTATCCACCTCAAACCCATACCAAAATCGTCTCATTTATAGTTTGGAATATTTTATTTTTAATAATTTATAATATTAATTATTTGGTTAGTACGTTGATATTTTGGTGTTTACTTAATTAATTAAAATATTTGAAATATATGTTAGAAAATTTAAGAATTGTTTTAATTTATCATCTCTAATGTTTTTTTAGAGTTTGGGATAAACTATTGGTTATAGAGAAAGTGACTATTTCAATTTTAAAAATTGATTCTGATGTGGAGATAGGGTACTCGAACCTCTTTAGAATGAATTTTGAGTTTAATTATTTATATCTGTTTGGATTTGGGACAGGGAATTAGTTTTTAACTGGGATTCAGGTTCGGGCACTGAAAAGGCAAAACTCGTTCTCACTCCATTGTCATGCCTAATTGCATTTAAAGCATATGAAAGATCTGGTGACATACATGATATATGCTATTACATATGCATTTGAGTTTTTATTCATGTGATCCATTTCTTTCATAATTGAAGGGGATTATGTTTTAATATACATAAGTCATGTTGTATATATATGAATCCTTTCTTGAAATCATGCATATTAAAGCATCTCATCACTTTGCTTATGTATGTACACTGGCTAAGACCAAAAATTTTTTTGATCTATCTCTATAGATCATTATCCCTAATATATAGGTTGTTTCACCCAAGTTCTTCATAGAAAAGCATTTTCTAATCCATGTTTTCACTTTTTACAAGTTAAGGACATCATTTACAATGAGTAATATGTCATCTACATTAATATTAGAAAGATGATCATAATCCCATTAACCCTCTCATAGACACAAGGGTCATCTTCCTTTTTAACGAGTCTATACTACTTTATAACTTCATC